GGAGAGAGAGGAGACTGATCTGATGGAGGACCGGCACGCTGATGAACCAACGCGAAAATGACCGCCTTGGAGCAGCACAAATGGGGGACCCTGCAGCCTCTCTCTCTCTCTCTCTCTCTCTCTCTCTCTCTCTCTCTCTCTCTCTCTCTCTCTCTCTCTCTCTCTCTCTCTCATTCTCTCTCTCTTTTGCACGCGCGCTCTGTGATGACCTGCTGGCAACTTTCTCTCTCTCTCTCTCTCTCTCTCTCTCTCTCTCTCTCTCTCTCTCTCTCTCTCTCTCTCTCTCTCTCTCTCTCTCTCTCTCTCTTTTGCACGCGCGCGCGCGTCTAGCCGATGTCAATGGTCTGACCCTCAATGACGAGGGATCTCTCCGTCTCCGTCTCCGCTTGCGCGCATGTGTGTGTGTGTGTGTGTGTGTGTGTGTGTGTGTGTGTGTGTGTGTGTGTGTCGGCCTCTGACTGAATCCAAACAAGGGGCAGGAGGCAAATGGGTGCTGTGGGTGGGAGAGATACAAAACCCGTAGACCCGCCAACGGTCTTCGGGAATGCCTGGGATGTGATGTCAGGGAATTGAAAAAGGGGCCTGTCCGGCCGCCCTGTGCGGCCAATACCGGCCCCAAAAATCCATTAAACATTTTTAGGGGGGCGCCCTGAACCCGAGGAACAGGTCCAGGTTGCCCCCCTTTTTTTTCCAATTTTGGGGTTTCGGCCCCTACCGGACAGGTCTCCTACCGTCCGGTATCCAGACACCGGACCCAAGACCGACTGGACGCCCGTCCGGATGTCCGCATGGTAGCCATGAAAAAAAGTAAAAATTAAAGGGGTCATCGGTTGGTTGCCATTGGATGAAAGTGGCCGCCGGATTTTGAAAAATTTTAATTGTTTTTTTGAGAAAACGGAACTGGTGGCCGAGGCTTGTATCAGTAAAGGTGACATGCATCAATCAACAAATGGTCCCCCCCCCAAAAAAAAAAAAAAGAAACAAGAATCTACCAAGAAAGAAGCTCCCTCAGTCAGGATGGTAGACTGAACCTTCTACCGTTGCAGGAAGGGTCCAAAGTTCCATACAGAATGTCCCCTCGACTCCCCTGTACAACCGTCTATTTCCTTGAGTATCGAGTCAGGCAAGATACCATGCCAGGCCTTATAGAAAATAACATAAAATAAAATTGATCAACTTGAATTAAACCACCACTACCTCCGAGCCTCTTTCTGCCAAGGCACCCTAACACTGCGCGCCGATGTTTGCGGAGTCTGGCGTGGGGTGAAACTGTTTTTTTTTTTTTTTTTTGGTACTCAGGATACACAACGACAAAAAAATAGGGAAAATTTGTCTGGCGCCTCTGTATTTTCCAGAATGTTGATTTCCGCCCCTTCGACGGCCGATTTACCCTGTCGCGCCCCTGGGCCTAAAAATATTTTTGGCAGGCCCCTGTCGGTAGTGGGCGAAACCTTCCAGGCCGCCCTCCCTCAACTGGCGGTCCCATTCCATTGGGCTCTGCGCCATATGCCCTCGTAAGGGGCAGCCATCTTCCTGTACTGCCCCTGCAGCAGTGAGGCACTTGAAATTTGAATTCGCGCCACAATTTTTTTTTCTCTTTTTTTGTTTTTAACAAACCGGGCCAAGTGCCCAAGGCTGATATTACCAATAAGAAGATTGAGGCCGGGGTCCTCACAGTCTACCCGGAGAAACCGAACCGAACAAGCTGAGAACCGGGCTCAGCGTCCCTCATATGATGATGATTATGCTGCTGCTGCTGCTGCTGCTGATGATGATGATAATGAACTTCTAATGATTGTATGAGAAATGTGAGATAATGATACTAATGATGAGGATGCTAATGATGATGGCAATTAGTATGTGAAAATTTTTAGAAGTCTATGCTATATCAGCAAATCTGGCCTTCTAATCCTAGGACAACCCCTAGCCCTCCCTGAGCCAGGACATTACATCTCAGAGACAATGTCATCCTAGCCAACATCAACCATAGCTATCTTGTTCTCGCCACCTAGACTAAACC